CTGAATATCCAAAGAAAACTTCAAAATAACAAGTAGCGACTTCTGTTGAAAATGAACACGCATTTGGCATCGTGATGTTATCAAGTACCCGCAGAAAAAGGATTTAGCACACAAATATATCCATTCTGACGCCCTAGGTTTGTCAACAGTGCAAAAGTAGGCAGCTGAACTTAAGAGAAGAAGGGGGAGACAAGGTCTGGACGTCCTGCAGCTGTCATCAGCGAGGGAAACATGGATCATTTTCACTACATGGTGATGAATAACAGACAGTTAAATCAAATAGCCAATGCTATTAGCATGTCCCACAAGAAAGTTGATAACATTTCTGTACAATGAACTTGGCATGACGAAGGTTTCTGCTCGGTGGGTGCCACGTCTTCTGACACTTGATTAAAAGCGCACCAGGCTGATCCCATTACGAGAAAAGCTGACATTTTCTGTGACAGATCCAGCTGGATTCTATTGGAATTTTTGGGTACCTTGGTGTACTAGTAAGCCAGCCAAAATGAGCTGACTCATTTTATAGTTCACCAATAGAAGGGTTAACCAATCAGAAGGCTCAAAATATTCAATGCAACGTGTATAAAGGCGACCATGTTTTTCCCGAATATGCACTGCCAGCCTTTGATATCGAAGACTAAAGAATTACGGAACAGCTGCTGGTTGTATTGGCGATATAGTCAGATTCAGTAGTATGTTAATGTTGTTTCATTGAACAGATTACGTACTGCGCTGTATCCTATATTCAGAGACTATGGTGAACACGGCCAGCAGTTTCCTTGGACCTTTTCTAACCCCGAATATGTGTTGGCTTCTTCACTTTAAGTCAGAGACAAAGAGACAATCCATCAATGGAAATACTCCTCTTCACGTGCTCCAAAAAGAATAAGGTCGTTTCTTCTGCGGGGAAGGTGATGGCCTCAGATTTATGGGTTGTAAAAGGCATTGTGCTTATTGACTATCTTCAACAGGGTCACACAATCAATTGAGTACTATGCCAACTTGCTAAGGTTGTTACGAAAGTAACCAACGCCCAGGAAATTTGACGACAAGGGTTTTGTGTTATCAGGACGATACTCTAGCACACAAGTCCTTAGTTTCAATGACACCTCTGTGTGACTGTAGCTTTAAACTCGTTGACAAAGATCCCTATTCTTCTGATTTGACTCCCATCTATCACCTGTTCCTCCACATAGACAGAACACTTGGCTGGAAATCAGTATCGCAATGATGATGACGTCATATCTACTGTTGGTAACTTTTTCACCAACAGGATAAAAGATTATTCACCAATATGATGCAACACCAATTGACAGATGTGCGTGAGTCACAAGTTGGACTATAAGCCGCATTTGGTCACATTCCATGAGAATATCTTGGTCAGCCTATGAACTTTTCATCAAAAGAACTAGACTTCTAATTGTGCAAAATAAACTTTGAAATCGTCTAGCTCAACACAGGAAACCATCTTTCCTGGCAGCAGACCTAGTAATTGATACAAGACAATTAAAAAAAATTACTATAATTTTGAAAAAGAGTTTAAAATATCAAGACATTTCTTCAACTGGTTAACTAGATTGAATGTTATTTTCGAGATAAGCTATCAGTTTAACTATAGCAACAAAGGATAAGATGTTGTGTGGAGCAATTAACACCAATGCCCTGAAGGAACACGGAGTATAAAAGAAAACAAATGCGCTCTATAACTATGACCTTGTGTCATACTAAACATGGCTTAATAAATATCAGTAATGTAGACACGTTGTTTACGACATCACTGGATAGTTTATTTCACGGTAATTGCCAGAATACTTCAAGAAATGATTCAAATTTCCGTTTGGTCTTTTTTTTCTGACGGCAAACAAGAATTTGATTTCATATATGCGGAAAACACTGGATTGGTTGGAATAAAAAGCAAATTTTATAAGACCATTCAAATGGAGGTTAATATATTCTTTATTTTTAGACGAGCTTCTGCAGTTTGTAAACATCGAACAGTTATCCTTGGCGATATTAGGATAAGGTTGTTTGTGAAAGAAAAAAAAAGGAATTTTTTTTTTAAAGTTGAAATGTTTCTCGAGTTGTAACTTTAAATGATTTTAAAAGAGAAAGAAATTCAAAAGACAAAATTTCCACGCGTGAAAGAAAACCATAATGTACAATGTGAAAGAAAGAAAGAAAGAAAGATTAACAGAAAAGGAAGAAGAAAGGCAAAGAGAGAAAAATAATGAAGATTTAAAGAAAATGACAAGCAAAGAAAATCTTGCAAGAAAGAAAGAAAAAAAGAAAGAAAGAAAGAAAGAAGGGATAAATGCAGAATAGAAAAACAAATAATAGAAAAAATGAAGAAAGAAAGAAAAATTTTATTAAAGAAAGGAAAGAAGGAAGCAAGAAAGAAAGAAAGAAATAAAAAAATAAAGAAAGAAAGAAAGAAAGAAAGAAAGAAGGGATAAATGCAGAGTAGAAAAACAAATAATAGAAAAAATGAAGAAAGAAAGAAAAATATTGTTAAAGAAAGAAAGAAAGAAAGAAAGAAAGAAAGAAAGAAAGAAAGAAAGAAAGAAAGAAAGAAAGAACGGATAAATGCAGAGTAGAAAAACAAATAATAGAAAAAATGAAGAAAGAAAGAAAAATATTGTTAAAGAAAGAAAGAAATAAATAAATAAAGAAAGAAAGAAAGAAAAAGAATGCAGAGTAGAAAAACAAATAATAGAAAAAAATGAAGAAAGAAAGAAAAATATTGTTAAAGAAAGAAAGAAGGAAAGAAAGAAAGAAAGAAAGAAAGAAAGAAGGGATAAATGCAGAATAGAAAAACAAATAATAGAAAAAATGAAGAAAGAAAGAAAAATATTGTTAAAGAAAGGAAGGAAGAAAGGAAGAAATAAATAAATAAATAAATAAAGAAAGAAAGAAAGAAAGAAAGAAGGGATAAATGCAGAATAGAAAAACAAATAATAGAAAAAATGAAGAAAAAGAAAGAAAAATATTGTTAAAAGAAAGGAAGGAAGAAAGAAAGAAATAAATAAATAAAAAAAATAAATAAAAGAAAAAAGAAAGAAATGAAAGAAAGAACGGATAAATGCAGAGTAGAAAAACAAATAATAGAAAAAAAAGAAGAAAGAAAGAAAAATATTGTTAAAGAAAGGAAGGAAGAAAGGAAGAAATAAATAAATAAATAAATAAATAAAGAAAGAAAGAAAGAAAGAAAGAAAGAAAGAAAGAAAGAACGGATAAATGCAGAGTAGAAAAACAAATAATAGAAAAAATGAAGAAAGAAAGAAAAATATTGTTAAAGAAAGGAAGGAAGAAAGGAAGAAATAAATAAAGAAAGAAAGAAAGAAAGAAAGAACGGATAAATGCAGAGTAGAAAAACAAATAATAGAAAAAATGAAGAAAGAAAGAAAAATATTGTTAAAGAAAGGAAGGAAGAAAGGAAGAAATAAATAAATAAATAAATAAATAAAGAAAGAAAGAAAGAACGGATAAATGCAGAGTAGAAAAACAAATAATAGAAAAAATGAAGAAAGAAAGAAAAATATTGTTAAAGAAAGGAAGGAAGAAAGGAAGAAATAAATAAATAAATAAATAAAGAAAGAAAGAAAGAAAGAAAGAAAGAAAGAAAGAAAGAAAGAACGGATAAATGCAGAGTAAAAAACAAATAATAGAAAAAATGAAGAAAGAAAGAAAAAAAAAAGTTAAAAGAAAGAAAGAAAGTAAGAAAGAAAGAAAGAAAGAAAGAAAGAAAGAAAGAAAGAAAGAAAGAAAGAAAGAAAAAGAATGCAGAGTAGAAAAACAAATAATAGAAAAAAATGAAGAAAGAAAGAAAAATATTGTTAAAGAAAGAAAGAAAGAAAGAAAGAAAGAAAGAAAGAAAGAAAGAAATAAGGGATAAATGCAGAATAGAAAAACAAATAATAGAAAAAATGAAGAAAGAAAGAAAAATATTGTTAAAGAAAGGAAGGAAGAAAGGAAGAAATAAATAAATAAATAAAGAAAGAAAGAAAGAAAGAAAGAAAGAACGGATAAATGCAGAGTAGAAAAACAAATAATTGAAAAAATGAAGAAAGAAAGAAAAATATTGTTAAAGAAAGAAAGAAAGAAAGAAAGAAAGAAAAAGAATGCAGAGTAGAAAAACAAATAATAGAAAAAAATGAAGAAAGAAAGAAAAATATTGTTAAAGAAAGAAAGAAAGAAAGAAAAAGAATGCAGAGTAGAAAAACAAATAATAGAAAAAAATGAAGAAAGAAAAATATTATTAAAGAAAGAAAGAAAGAATGAATGAAAGGAACAAGTGAAAGATATAAAACAAAAAAATAACAGAAAAAAAAAACTTTTAAAAAAATGAAGAAAAAACAAACATTAAAGGAAGGAAACAATCAAACAAACCAACAAAGAAACACGTGTAGGGCGTAAAAAACAAAGAAATAACAGAAAAATCTGAAGAAGGAAAAAGAAAAAAAAAACATTATTAAACGAAGATGCAAACAAAGAAACAAGGAAAGAAAGTATGAAAAGAACAAGTGAAGGAAACAATACAAAGAAATAACAGAAAAAAAAGAAAAAAGAAAGAAAAACAATTATCATTAAAGAAAGAAAGGAAGGAAGGAAGTAGTAACGCGTACAAAAAAAACAAATAATATAAAAACTTGAAAAAATAAAGAAAAAATAACATTAAAAAAACAAATAAACAATCGAACTAGTGTAGGGTATAAAACAAGCAAGTAGCAAAATAAACTTCAAAAAGAAAGAAAAAGAAACATTATTTTAAAAAGAAAGAAAGAAAGAAGTTAAGCAGCTAGTGAAAGATAAACAAACAAATAAGAGAAACATTTAAAGAAACGAAGAAAAAGAAACAATATTAGAGAGAGAAAAGAAGAAAGAAAGCAAGATTGGAATGAAGAAACAAAGCGATGTGAAACATCGGGAATACTTGAAAAACAGAAAGAATGAAACTGCAGTTTAACCCGGATATAAGAGACCCGGATATAAAAGAAACCCGGATATAAGAGATATTTTCTCTGGTCCCAAATTAGAGCCTGTGTTAATGTATATAAAATAGATCAAACCCGGATATAAGAGAAACCCGGATATAAGATATATCTTCTCCGGTCCCGACAACTCTCTTATATCCGGGTTTTCAATAATAAGAAAATATTAAAATAAAAAGAAAACAAAGAGGAAAAGAAAAAATAAGGGAAAATAAGTAACAGACAAAAAAAAAACCCTTAAAGAATGAAGGAAAGAAAAAGTAAAAGAAAAAAGAATGAATAAACGGAAAATGGAAATAACGAAATTTGAATTTAATTTTTATTTCTTTGGCTGAAAAAGTAAAAAAAAAAAAAAAAAACATCTTTGGTGAAGTAATTGCTTCTGGCCACACAGCATCTCGTCTTGTCCGAAACAGAGATTGAGATAAGATGCTTCACTGATGTTGCTTCTCTCTGAAAATTACTTTTGTGTTCGGGAGAATGAGGAATGCGACGTCAATGTCACTGAACTGCAAGCCAAGAGCAAGATGAAGTCTTCACTATACAGACGAGAAAATGGCGCGTTTTTTCTTCGCCTGAGACAGCTTTGTTCGTTATCTTTAGGAAAGTTTTTTTGGATGAAGTACCTAATTCGACCAAATCGCTCAAATATCAATGAATGGGAAGAGTTCAATTGCCATTCACATCTATATATTGCCCTTGAATACATTTCCAAGTCATATATTAACACCAAGTAACGACTTACCAACGAACAAATCCATCAATGTTTTAGTTGGGGAGTTGAAACAAAAGCTATTTCAAAATTGGATTGTTCTATTTATATATTATTAGCGTATATTCATGATTTAAACTTTTTCCTGTTTATTTAATACGATTTTTTCTATGGCAATAATTTGTTGGATGGCTCCAGTGAGAGAATGATTGATAGATGATTATTACCAATTATTTGGCTTTGCTTCAATGTGTCCTTAACGATTGGCTCAATGATTGATAGATTATTATTACCAATTATTTGCTACATTGGTTCTTAACCATTGACTGTATGATTGAATGAAGATGATTCTTGTAAACAAAGACCTGAACGATTCAACAATTTCTGGTTGCTAACCAACTGACGAACAGAGAACGATTGCTGCAGGCATTATATATAACTAGCCTGGTATCTGTCGCTTTGTAAATCTCGGGTTTTTTTCTCTGATGGTTCGTATAACGTAAGCTAATAAAGCGAAAGCCAACAGATATCTACTCGGACTGGGCTAATATCAAAACCAACCGACATTAACGGAAGTACACCCGGAAATGAAACAATAGCTTTAATAATTTAAAAAAAATGCAAAGTCTTTCTTGAAGCTTTTAATTTTAGTTTAAATTTCAAATTAGTAGATTAAATTTAATATCTTTAATAAGCAAAATACTTTGTATTTCAAAACCTAATTTAAATTGACTCGGAAGAAATCCCAGCATGTTTCGACTCTAAATTGGGAAGGGGAAAGTATTCCCAGAAGGATTGGAACCACCAGAATTTTTTTTTTTTTTTTTTTTTTGCCTGCAATATTTGATAAGGATCTTTATATAATCTTCTCTATATTCCAACCCACACTTCTCACACACGAGTTTGTCCCTCAATCCATCCTAAATACGTTTTCCATAAAGAGACAAAACACGTCGTGGATATAGCTTTTCTGGGTTCCGGTATTGTCTCCTCTATAGATCGGATATAAATTCTTACCTTCCACATCCACTCTAGTCGATTTATAGGAAGGCTTTGGCAAGATATGTGAATAATTTAGAAAAGGAAAATAAATAACAAAACGAAAGACCACGTGATCAAAAGTTCGTAGCGGTTTTAAGTGAATTTCACAGATAATATTTGTACATAGATTTCTTCAACCTCATCTGTACCATTTTGTTCGGGTACCTTTCGCTCCCTCTCGCGACAGCATCATAATTCCATCCTCCCAAAAGCTAACTTCTGAAGCTAATCCTCCTAAAAGCTAACTGAATGAAGAGATTTCTTTTTTTATATATAGTTTGTACAAATTCTTCTCTATGCGTGGGTTGGTCAATAACTATGATTTGTTTAATTGCCCATGCCTTTCTTTTCCAGAAATATCTTCTGGAAAATAGAAGAAAGTTATGTTGCCTTTGTTGGAACTGGGGTTCCTGTCTATGAAGGAGTTGTTGGCGACAATGTTGACCAGTGGAGATAGGTAACAAAAAACTATGTTTGATTCTGAGTTTTTTTTTTTGTGAATAAGCATTCTTAAGAAGTGAAGATCAATCGTGGAGTTGACGACGTGTCCTTTAATAAAATCACTCTTTATGGTTAGCCTCTTGTCGCTCCAATGCATCCAGCCTAGCAGATATCGTCACACTGTTGATGAAAATCTTTCACACGCTGATAATTAACAGACAATACGTGTTTTAAAAGATATACGCAAAGATATCTCTAAAATAGTTACGCGGAAGATGTACCGACATATCAACTTATTTTTTAAGATTGACTAATTTTCGTTTCAATCGTCATTTAACATAGATTTGACCAAAAACTTATTGTGAGTATAAAAGGTTGTTGTCGTTATTTTATTTATTGTTAATAAATGTTTCTCAAAACAGGGGTTTTAAATTTTCCTTCTATGTTTTGATCGACAATGTTCGTTTAAATATTTCCTATAAGTTTCGTTGAAATTGATCTGTTATTTTTTTTTATGTAAGAAAAAACCAATGTGTTAAATACTTTTGCTACCCACTGTATATATATATATATATATATATATATATATATATATATATATATATATATATGTAAGAATAGATTTTGGCGACCATTTCATTCCAATTTACTAGTGATCCATTTTATCGCTTCTTCTTTTATGCGCCGTGTCCCTTCAAGACGTTGATGATCACAGCTCTCCACAATTTCCTGTCCTTTGTAGCTCTTAATAAATGTTGTCTTTTTGTCATCGCTGCTAAAGCCTGTTCTGACATTCATTTACTCATATTCCTTAGGTAGATCATACGCTGTTTTCCTCTTTCCTACTTACCTTCAATATGTCCCTGTGAGTATCAAATTTACCAAGCTTTCTTTCCTCATTATTTTCCCTAGAAATGTCAACTCTCTCTTTCTGATGAGCATCCTCTTTGTTTACTTTTTCTTTAAAATTTTATCCTTCCCTTATTTAGAAGAAGATTTTTGTTGCCCTGCTTAATCTGTGAAGAGATTATCCAGGATTAACTGTCATACGGGAGAACTGATATTACATAACAAATAACGAAATTTTCCTGTTTCATAATACTTTGCTCAGCTTTTGGAAGGCAACTCTTGCTATTGCAATGCACATTAAGATTTCAGAGTCGCATATCCGTCCTCTGTTAAGACACTTCCCAGATATTTAAATTGATGTCGTTGTTTGATTTTGGTATCTCCAATTTGCAATTTGCATTTTGAACTGTTCCTTTTGCTAAAAAAAAAGCATGAATTCTATCTTCTTGCAATTGATGTTTAGTCCTTTCTTCTTAATTTTCTTGAATATAGAATTAGGAAACCTTTCAAATGTTTTTTTTCAAAACATGTTTCAAACAGAATATTTAATTCTTCACACACTTTTTAATAGATTCTTATTTCTTATGAAAAAGGATTAAACACGTTGTCCTTCCTGGGTATGACGATAAACCACATCCGCGTCCCAGGTAAGACAATAAACAACATTCGAGTCCCAGGTAAGACGATAAACTACATCTGACAACAAGGCATCTCATCAGGAGGTTTTGAGGATCATGTAACCACCTCTTAATTGCTGGCGTTCCCAGATCCACCCTGACCCAGAGTGGTAGCACCTGTTAGGGTCCTAGTAATGGGCAATTTGTTAAGTTGGGATCAAAACACAATGAAAGTGTAAAAATAAGTTTTAATACCAGCAATTAATTTTTTAAGAAAAAAATTTTACCAGCAATAGATTTTTTAACAAAATTATTACCAGCAATAAAAATCTTGTCGGCATTAAATAACCCATTGAGGTTGATAAGCCGTAAAACAAAACAAACCAAACAAACTAAAGACACTGTGCATGCTATTTTTATTTTTCAAATAATTTTTTGTTTACTACATAATAAATTCTCATATTCTTTATATAATTTCACCCGGATTATTGTCCTTATATTTGGTCTTTTTCTAAAAACGTTTCGGCCTATGTAATCTCCGGCCTGCACCACGTGCTTGTCAATTACGGTAACTTTCAGGTAATTTTAAACACAACCATTTGTCTGTATCTGTCTATATTTCTGAGATGAGGTATTATGTACACTATTTACATTATTCGGACTATTGTCCTCATCTTTGTCGCCATATTTATCACAACGTACAAGGACACATGGCACAGTGGATAAAGGCGTTGGTTAAATCTAGTGACAGGACCCAAAGTGTGTGAGTTCAATACCTGGTTAAGGCGGTGGAGAACTTGGAGAGGGGAACCAACAGGAGATAACCGATAACCGATAACTGACATCCATTAGATACGGCACGTGGAACTAGAACAGTCTACCCCAGTGAGCGAAATAAAGAATTCAGCCCGACATTCCAACCACCTGAAGAATGCCGGAGCGTACAACGTTGTTATAAATATGGCGACAAAGATGAGGATGATAGTCCGAAGAATGTAAATAGTGTTCATAATACCTCATTTCAGAAATATGGACAGATACTAAATATGTTTGGTTAAACAATTTAGAAATTCTTGCAACTATATAAAAAATTAAAACGAACACTTAACAAAATTAATTATTAATGTATTACAAATGTTCTAAAATTAAAAGTAAATTATAACCTCCCTATAAGAATTCAATTTTTAAGTTACCTTCCTTGCACTAAAATCTTTACAACATGGAATTTTTTTTTTAATCACCGTTTGTAATTTTGCACGTGACCGGAACTGTTAACGGTTTAACAACAAAAGAAAAATTTACTTCAGCAAACAGTTTTTTTTTTCTTAGTCATCATAAACTCTTAGCAAAAACAAAACCCTGAAGATGACATTGTGTTAATGTCGAAAGTACTCGTAAATAAAATGGATATACATCAACATGGTAATGTTCTTTCTTTCTTTAATAAGGACACTAAGAAACTCGTTTGTCGATATGAGAGGATCCTATAAAGGATAAGTAGAAAAGCTTGTCTAAATTGTGTAATGGTACATGTCTTAATAAAAACGTGCTACCAAAATATACGCCATATACACAGACACACAGACACACAGACACACACACACACACACACACACACACACATATATATATATATATATATATATATATATATATATATATATATAAATGGAGCATAGTTATCAGGCGTTTTTGTAGGCGACTTATTTGTTAATAAAAATTGGTGTTTTGTTTACT